CACCTTATTGTCAAGGTCTCTATCTCCCTTGTGATGCAGAAAGAAGCTACAAAGTTTCTGCCTTTGTGTATCTGGTTTCCAGCACAGTGGAATAGGTGTTTACAAATGGATCATAGGATTATAGGTATAGAACTGTAAGGAGCTTTAGAGGCCATCTATAGTCCCACCCTTTGTATCACAGATGAAGAAAATGAGGCTCAGAAAGATTGAGTAACTTGTCCGAGATCACACAGGAAAAATAGCTAGCATTTAAACTCAGGTCCTTTAATTCCAAGTCCAGCACACGTTCTATTGCCCCATACTCCTTGTCCCATGTCATCCTATTATCTCTTCTCCTCCCTGACCACCTTTCCACTTTGTTCCCATTGTCATAACTTCCTAATGCTAGCCTTGACCAATCAGGCTAAGGACACCAGGTAGAACACATTAGAGAAGCAAGCTAATTTCGTAGATTTTAAGCAAGAAGAGACAGTGGCAATCCTCTAGCCAGACTTCCTCATTTTATATATGAGGAAAATAAGGCTGAGCCATGTTAAGTGACTTGGCTACAGTCATGCTTTCATAAATGATGTTATGGAAAGAGCACAGGACTAGAAAAGAGGATCCCTGGATCCTAGTCCTGGGTTTGGGTACGTCCTGGGGCACTTCACCTTCCTGAGCCTGGAGATTATAATATGTAAAAAAGATAAGTAAATAAGGTAATTTGAAGACAAAGAAAGCACCAATGATAACTAAGGAGATTTATTTTCTAAAAATCAAGCAGGAATTATTTAATTCATTGGCTTTTTATTCTTAGTACTAAGCTTAGTGCCGGCACATATTACTTACTTAGCATATGCTTCTTGGTGGATTGATTAATGTAGGAAATAGCATTTAAGTTGAATCTTAAAGGAAGCTAAGGATTCAAAAAAGAGGATGTGAGACAGTGTGAGTGTATGGAGGGGAGAATGTGGGGAACACGGGTGGCAGGTAGGAATCTGTGATGTTCAGAGGTTTGTCTAGTTAATCAAACTCTTTCTTCTAACTCCAAAAGTCTAAATGTGTATGATTGCTCATTTAATTCAAATAACAGATGGAACCGCTTCCCTATAAAACCTCTAAGAACTCCTGTTTCAGGATAACAGCCCACAGAAGAACAATTAATGGGGCAGAGAAAGGCCTCATCCCATTGGCCAACAGAACAAAATATGAATTAGAGTTCTCATATAGAATGAATCTTTAATTTCTTCCTTGATACTTCAAGGATCTCTGGTTAAAATGGCAATCCCTTCCACTGTTGCCAATTAAAGCCCCTCTCTATATGCTTTAGGAAACTATTTTATGAATTGACATGGCCAAAAAATAATTCATCATCTCATCAACAATATTTGGTGCCTCTGAAGTCAAGTACTCTGATCAGAAGATCAGATTCAGATGTAGAAGGGAACTTAAAAATCATCTAGTCCAATTCCTTCATTTTTTGTTATTATTTAGTTCTTTCTGACTGTTCACGGCCCCATTTGGGGTTTTCTTACAAAGGATATTGGAGTGGTTTGACATTTCCTTCTCCAGCTCATTTTACAGATGAGGAAGCTAAGGCAAATAGAATTAAGTGACTTGCTTAGGGTCATACAGCTAAGTAAGTATTAAGGTTGGATATGAACTCAGGGACATGAGTTTTCCTGACTCCAGGTCTAGCATTCTATCCATTGCACCTCCTAGCTGCCCTTCCTTTCTTTTACATATGAAGAAACTAGAGCCTAGAAAGGTTGAGTAAGTTGTCTAAGGTCAGATAGATAGTAAGAGAGAAAGGTAGGATGTGAACAGACACCAAAGGCAGTACCCTTTCCCACAGCCTTCCTAATGCATGAATGACAGATACGGAGTCTATCACAGGGGCCGTATTGAAGCCTTTCTAACTTGGCAGGGCCCACAAAAGCTTGGGTTCTAATAACAACCTTCAAGAGCCCAGACTCCCCTCCATGTCCTTCATTCTGTTTTTTGTTTTGTTTTGTTTTGGTTTTTTAGTGAGGCAATTGGGGTTAAGTGATTTGCCCAGAGTAACACAACTAGTGAGTGTTACGTGTCTGAGGCCAGATTTGAATTCAGGTACTCTTAACTTCTGCACCACCTAGCTGTCCCTCCCCTCCATGTCAAGGCGGGGGCTCAGGTGTAAAGTGTGTCAAAGAAGGGCTCTGGGAGCACTAGGGGCTAGTAGAGTCTGAAGAATTCTAGAGGTGATCTAAAGGGGCTAGATAAGTACAGGAGGGCTAGCGCTCATGCTCATTCAAACCTACATAGATGGTCCAATGAAGTAATCAAATGGGATATAATGGAGAGACTGTGTAAGAATTGAGAAGCAAGCAACCGTAAGAGGAGGAAAAGAACCACCTGAAGCTCTAGGGAAAGCGTGGTTCCAAATGCCCCCAAAGTTGGAATACTGTTTATTGGCAGGGAAAGAATGACTTAGGAGAGGGAGACAGATGAGACTTCCTTTTCTCTTACTTCTGGATTATCTAGGAAAAAGGCCCATGTTGGTGTGAGCTATGGGTGTTAGTTGCAGAGGTCAGGAATGGAGGGGACCAATGACAAATCAAAGGCAGGATTTTTCCAGCAAGGGATTGAGGAGTGCATGGCTCAGCAGCAGTAAGGTACACAGGGAACAGAAAGGAAGAGGAGACCAGGATCGCAGGATCACAGAATTAGAGCTAGAAGGGCCTTGGGGATCCTTAAGCCCAACACCTTTATTTTACATAGGAGGAAACTCCTCTGTAGAACAGAGGGGTTAAGTGACTTGTCAAGGATCATACATAGCAGAGATAAGATTTGAGCCACGTCCTCTGATTTCAAATCTAGTGCTATTTCTACAGTAAGAGAAGGCCTCCTGTCTTGGAGGCCAGGGGAGCTTGTCATAACCCAGGCAGTGACTCTCCTGCAAAGGGTTATATGGCAGTCTGGATCTAACGGATAGATTTGTCAGTAATTCCAGATCCTAGGACACTTAGGAATAAGGCAAACATGAACGTCATGAATAACAACATAACCTCTAAAGCCATTTGGATCCATTCAGAAATGGCACGAATCATTCTTGTTGAGTAAAAAATTCCAGAAAAGTTCTTCCTTGGGGGGTTCTCAGGGTCTTAATTGTAATAGATGAAAGCATCTTAGAATATAAGAGCATCGGAGGATGCTAGGGAGCTCAAGAAAGAGAATTAGGATAGCACTGTGTGGGAGCTCGTAGTCTAGCAAGGAGATGAGGCTCATACACATGAAGAAAATCGACCAAAATTTTATAGGAGACTGGGCATTGAAATAAGTGTGAATAGACCCAGCCTTCCCAGACCCACCTTAAACTGTTTGTAGTGCGTCAATAAGTATCTGGTGAGCAGGTGGTATAACAAAAATGAAATACATCTTAAATCAAAAGACTTAGGTTCAAATCTCAGTTCTGCTGTTTTTCTACTATATGATTTTGATACGGTAGGATGGAAAGAGATTAAATCACAGACTTAGAATGGGAAAGAAGCTTTAAGGTCATCTAGCCAAACTACTTTTCACAGATTGAGAAACTGAGGCCTAGAGAGGGGAAGTCCTGTGCTCAGAGTCATAAAGGTAGGAAGGATAGAGATGAGATTAAAATCCAGGTTCTTAGATTCCAAACTGAGCTCTATCCCATCACACCAAGATCTAAAACTGACAAGTTAAAACAACAACTTGGATTCAAGAAATTACTGATTTCTTCAGTGTACTTTCAACTTGTGGGACTAGTACTTTCTGACCTTCAAGTTCATAATATGTTGCTATGTAATGCGGAACTATTGTGACTGGTACTTTTAAATAACTTTACTTACTAGTGTCCATTTAAGATATTTAGAATTTAGCATATAACAAAATTATATTGAAAGCCCAGTGAAAAATTATGCTATATGAAAATATTCTAAAGATTTGTTTTTAAGTCAAAGAAACTGCTACTTGCTAATTAGATCAATTACTAATCATTGGCTTTAACACTAGAAGGGACCTTAAATGATGATGATGGTGATGATTATAACATTAACTAACAGTTATATAGTGCTTTGAGTTTTGCAAAATATTGTTCATTGTTCAGTCATGTCCAATTCTTCGTAATTCCATTTGGGGTTTTCTTGGCAAAGATATTGGAGTGGTTTTCCATTTCCTTTTCCAGCTCATTTTACAGATGAGGAAACTGAGGCAAATAGGATTAGTGACCTGCTCAGGATCACATAGCTATTAAGTGTCTGAGGTTGGATTTGAACTCAGGTCTTCCTGACTCCAGGCCTGGCAGTCTATCCACTGCATCGTCTAGCTGTTCCAATTGCAAAATGTCTTATATAAACTATCTCATGCAAATAATCGATGCTCTCAATCACCTTGTGAGGTAAGTCTTATTACAGATGGGGAAATTGAGGATTATAGAGGCTAAGAGACTTGTCCGTAGTCACATAGGAGCTCATTGGTTGAGTCAGTATTCAAATTAAGATATTGAATTAGAGTCTAGTCTTCTTTTCTCCATGTAATGCTACCTTAAAGATCAATCAGTCTAACTTCCTCATTTACAGACAAGGAAAGAGAGGTCCAGAGAGTGGGCTCGCCTGAGGTCACACAGGTGGCAAGTAGCAGAGCCAGGATATAAATTCAGGTTTGTTTTTTTTTTTGCTAAAAAACCAATGCTCTTTCCACTGCACCCTAATGTAATACTGACCCATCTGTGTTCTAATAGGACAGATACATAAAATTATGATGCTGGGTAGAATATCCTTTATTTTTTTCTTGGACACTTTCATTTGTTTGTTTTTAATTTTCTCATCTTCCCACAGATGTGGAGGAGATCCAACATTACACAACATTAAAGCAAACCTAGTTTTGACTTGGCTTCATTTCAATTCAGCCATCCTTATGTTGGCCTATAGCAGGAACAAAAGGACTTTGTTGACCTGTCAACACTAAACCTCCGGGCCTGGAGAACACAAAGGGAAAACAGAGAATGGAGCAAGACTTACTCATAGAATTCAGCTGCCGGCGTATGCTTGTACTTGGAGTATTTGGTTCCATTGCCTAAAACAGACCCATTGAGGAGCTTGGAATCTGTGCAGTTTGGGCTGTTCCAGGGGTGGCCACAGTTGGTCCAGGGGAGATTAAGGGTGAATGAAGAGAACAGGTAGTAGAGAGACCACGCAATGATGACGTTGTAATAGAAGCCCACATATAGCGCGATGAGGATAACAGCATAGCCAACACCTGGAAAGAGGTTGTGGAATGATCAGAGAAGGGACTCCAAAGCTAAGGTTGACAGCCATTTCCTTTGCAGAATCTTCTCTGACTGCCCTATCCACTCTGAACAGCTCCCTTCTCTGAGCTCCTTACAGTCTTTACATAGTACTTAGTTGTATGTACGTTCTGCCTAAAGTCCTAGTGCAGTTTGGGGCTTTAATAACTTAAAATTATACTAAGACACTTAGGAAGCCCTGTAAATGTTTTCATCTTGTTGTTTAGTTTCCTCACAATTGTGTCACTGAACCATGTTGTCTCAACTAGGCTACAGACTTCATGAATTTATACTTCACAGTGTCTTGTACACAGTAAGCTTTTAATAAATACTTGTCAAATTTCACCGAAACTGAATTCTCTATAACCCTTTCCAAACCTCAGTCCTTCCAGGGCTAGTGCATTTCTCTCTTATAGTTACATTCAATCTATTATATATATATATGTGTGTGTGTGTGTATGTGTGTGTGTATAAACACACATATACATATACATATATACACACACATGTGTATATATGTATATGTATGTATATATGAATATATACACATAAAGATATATATACACATATAAAAATATGTATATGTATATACACACACACACATACACACACACACACACATACATACATATACCTTTTTCAACTAGATGGCTCAGTGTATAGAGCACTAGACCTTAAGTCAGGAAGACTTGAGTTCAAATCTGGCCTCAAACACTCACCAGCTGTGTGAGCCTATTTGCCTTAATCTACTTGAGAAGGAAATGGCAACTCACTCCAGTATTTTTGCCAAGAAAACCTCATAGAGGATCACGAAGAGTCAGACGTGAATTAATGACTAGACAACAACGAATAAATGTTGTATAGTCATCTATATCTAGGTCTCAGTCAATGTAAACACTAAATCCCATGAAATGGTCACATTTTTGAATTCACATTGCACATTCCCATCCGGCTGGAACTAATCCCCATTTGCAGATTCATGAAACATTAGGGCCAAAAGAACCCTTAGTCATTTATTCCAGCTCCCTTATTTTACCAGTGAATAAACTAAGATCTAGAGAATTGAAGTTATCACACATCACAAAGGTAGTAAATGGTAGAGTTTGGATTCAAACACAGGTCGTCTGACTCAAAATCTAGTACTCTTCCCACTCTAACACCTACTCAAAAATACTTGTTGATTAATGAAAAAGAACTAGCGGGGGAGAGAGTGGAGGCAAAGGAGAGCACCATCATGCCAGCTGTAATGTTGAATCTCCCTTGTTTAAAAAGCTATGTTATCATTGATAACATGGAGTGGAGCACTGAGCCTTGAGTCTAGAAGACCTGAGTTCAAATCCAGCCTCAGACACGTATTAGTTATGTGACCCTGGGCAAGTCACTTTACATCTTCTGCCTCACTTTCTTCAACTGTAAAGTGGGGATAATAATAACACCCATTTCTCAAGGATCTTGCAAAGATAAATTAATATTTATAAAGCTCTTAACAGAGTGCTTGGCACATAGTAAGCACTTAATAAATATTTGTTTCCTATCTTCTTTTCTTCCTTCCTTCCTTGTCCTCTCATAGTCAATTAATTGTCAAGACCTGTCAATTCTACTTCCACAGTATCTCTTCCCTCAATATTCTCCCCATTGCCACCACCTTAGTACAAAGCTTCTGTTTTATTTATTGGAATAAAATTTCAATAGCCTCCTTTAAAGTTTTTCCATTCTCACTCTCAATCCCCTCCTTAATTCATTCTTCATGTAGGCACTGGGATAAGAACTGGGCCTATTACTTTGTATATATAGGACAGAGGTATGAGATTGCTAGCCCTCCATATAGTTCTAACTAAATTAAAATGTAACTGGAAAATGTTTGAAAAATAAAGAAGAATACAACACAACATACATAATATTAATTTGTGATTTTCTAAGTCAATATGCCTGCAGGAATCCCATGTTTCTGAGTTTGACATCACTGGTGTAGAGAATTCCCAAGCAAGGCAACTCCCTCTACCAATGAGTCAATACTTCTTCTGCAAGATGTGATCTTAGAGATGTCAAGGGCATCAAGAGGTTAAGTGACTTCTCCAGAGTCATGTAGCCATTTTGTGTCAGAGGCAGGTCTTAAACTCAGCTCTTCCTTGCTTCAAGGGCAATTATCTCTCCACTACACCATGTTGCCCTTAATCATCCTTCATGTCACTCCTAAATTAATCTTTTTTATGCATAGATATAATCCTTTCATTCCTCTGCTCAAAACATCCAAAGATCTTTATTGTCTACTGGGTAAAGTTCAAACTTCTTTTCCTGGAAATTTGACACCAAGATTGTTCTAGCTCCAACTCTTATGGTTCCCTATCATATACTCTACAATTCCAAACAAAGTTAAACCCATTGCTGTCCCCCAAACTTCCTTGTCACTTTCTTTCTCTCTGACTTTGTATATCCTTTATTCCCTTCTAGAATGTCTTTGCCTATTGAGATGCTACCCACACTAGGGGAAAAGCTGGGGCATAAGGAAAAGAGCATGTGGGCTTGCCATAGAAGGCATGGGTTTGACTCTGGGCTGCTGCTTACTCACTGTGTGACTTTGGTAGGATCCTTTCCTTTCTATAGGTCTCAGTTTAACAACTAGATGATTTCTAAGGATTTCTAACATGTTGTGATTATATAAATGCGATCTCTTCTGTGCAGTCTCCCCTGATTTTTTCTAATCATTAATGACCTTTTTCCCCTCAGGCCTCATATAACATTTTGTTTTCCACATGTTGAATATATTTTTTCTATTATAATTATTACATATTCTAGTTTTCTTTTCATATTCCATATCTACAACTAGAACATAATATCCATGAGGGCAGGAATGTTATTGTTGTTATTCAGTCATTTTCAGTTATGTCCCATTCTTTGTGATCCCATTTGGAGTTTTCTTGGGAAAGATACTGGAATGGTTTGCCATTTCTTTCTCCAGCTCATTTTACAGGTGAGGAAACTGAGCAAACAGGGTTAAACAACTTGCCCAGGGTCATTTGGCTAGTAAGTGTCTCAGGCAGGATTTCAATTCAGGTCTACCTGACTCCAGGCCCATCACTCTATCCATTGTACCACCTAACCACCCTAAGGGCAGGGATAGGGTCCTATTGAAACTTTATATTCGTTAGGCCTTAATATAACATTTTGAACATTGTAGACCCTTACAAGGTTCTTGAATTTGAATTTGTTGAATTTGTCTCTCCACTTTGTAGCAATGATGAGAAAAACCCAGTTTTATAACCCAGGTACTGCCTTTCTAGGATTGTTAATACAGACAAGAAAAAGCAGATACTGATGCTTTTGCCTCTGGAGATGCACCAAGTGCTATTAATGATAGAAAGAAGCCAAGTATTTCTTCCAGATTTCATTACATCAAGTCAAGTCACTAGCTTCAAGTAGCTTTGAATGTCTGCTATGCTTGACCCTCATCAGTTCCCTATTGATACGCTGATACACCTAAGTCAAACTCTATAGTTGTGTTTTATGATCCCTGGAGGCAGATATCACCAACAGCCACACCCTAAGCTCAGGTTCCTTTTTGTCCAAGATGCCTTTTCTCCCCATTGCCTTGCTTTCCCTTGTCTTCCCCATTCCCTTGTTTTCATTGCTCCCTGAGAAAGCGCCTTTGACTGCCCTTTTCCTTTCTTTCTCAAAGACCAACACCCCTCTCCTCTTACCTTTGAAAAACGGACAGATTTTCCATACAGTAGCAGCCCCTTCTCGGTTGTACTGGCCCAAAGCCAATTCCATGTAGAACAAAGGCATCCCAGCAATGATGAGAAACAGGGTATATGGGATCAGGAAAGCGCCTGTAGGACATACAAAGGGAGAGAATTTACTACATGAGATTTCAACTCATTTGTACCCTGAACATTTATCATCTTTCCCATCTGATTACCAGGGCTTTTTTCCTAGTCACATTAAAATAATTCAAAATTTGATTATAGTTAAGACAAGACCTCTGCCAAGGAGAAAGAACTCTGAATTTGGAATCAGAGGACCTGGGTTCAAATTCTAGCTCTGCCATTCACTATCTGTGTGACCATGGACAAGTCACTTCTGAGTCTCAATTCCTCATCTAGAAGATGAGGGAATTGGACTAGAGCCCTAAAGGTACTCAAGCTCTAAATATATGATCCATTAGACCATCTGAGTACATAGAATATCATCCCTAAGGATGGCCATGTGTGCCAATTTGTAGGGGGGTGGTAAGGATAGTGAGCCCACTGCGGCAAATATAACCTGCTTCTTGTATTTCTCGAGACCTTTTCATCCACAGTGTCACATGCTCCCAGAAGGTAATGGAATCAGGAGAAAGACCTAAGAAAGGGGAGAGTGACTTTTGCCTGAACCCCTGAACACCATGGATGCTCATTATTCTGGCACCCTAAAGACCAGCCTGTCTTACTCTAGAAAGGCTATCCTGCCCTCCTACTAACTCTCACCTGGTTCATTCAAGGGAGAAGGGAATGTTCTTCTTTGGCCCAAATGAAAACATAATTTGTGCCCCACTCACCAATGCCCTCTCACAAAATGAAGAGTAGGTATTTCCATCAGGCCTGCTATGGCTCTGAATAAGGCTGCAACATATTAGAATTAATGCATCATCTCCCACCTAGGACCTAAAAGGGTTTAGGATTCCCAGGAGTAGGGACCCTCCTAGAGGTGGGATCCTCTGTACAATTTTCCTTGAAAATCAGAATTTAAGCTTATACTATCATATGAAGGATTCTGTCCGTCTTGGGAATCGAGAGTAGAGAGGAAAAGTAGCAGAGGGTGAAATGAGAAAAAAAATTTTTTGATTTGCTGCACACCTAATCAGAAGCCAAATAGTAATAAAAATCTTGCTGATGAAAAGATGAAGCTACCAACTCACTTTCAGTCAAACATGAATTTGGAATGGAATTTTCTTTTAATCCTAGATTAGGCTACCCTGGGTCATCCATACACATCTCTCTAGTTCCAGCTTTTGTGAGACCCACCACTGACCAGGGCATAGAGTCAGTTCACAGCCTCAGAAGAGAGTAAAATTGATTAACCCATGAGGCCAAGCCTTAGGTTTGATTTCAATGGCACAGGGGTATTACTTATGGGCTAGCCTGTCACAAGCCACTAAAAGGAAAAAAGGATTTCGGATTCCCTCGGTTGAAGCTTTTGACAGACGCAAAGGGAAGACCAGAGATTTACAAAATCATCACTCTGACTCCAGGTGACTCCCTGGTAGTCCTCAGGGAGGAATGGAGGGGATAAGCATTTATATAGAGCCTACCATGTGTCACATACAGTGCCAAGTACATTACAAATATCACATTTGATACTCAGAACAACCCTGCAAGGTAGATGCTGTTATTATCCCCACTTTACAGTTGAAGAAACTAAGGTAAGCAGAAGTCAAGTGGCTTGCCCAGAGTCACATAGCTAAGTGGTTGAGGCTGGATTTGAACTCAGGTCTTCCTGACTCCAGATCCAATTCTCAGGAGAATTCATCTGGAGACAGAGAGAGACTTTAGTCGCAGCAAACAATAAGCAGCATGTAATATCAAATATGACATTGATTTGATGTAAGTTGATGAACAGCTATCATAAATGCTAGTCTTTCCCAGGTCACTAGCAGATGACCAAAACAAAGAGCTTCACTCCCTTTCCCCCCAGTTAGGCAGCCACAAGTTTGGTATTCATATCTAGTTCCAAAGCTCAAGGTAGACCTGGACAGAATCAAGATTTGGCTGAGAAATAGAAACACAGACTTACTGAGTGTTGCTGTTAAAAAGAGCCTTAACTATCCCTCCTTCCAGCTCCTCATTTTACAAATAAGGAAACTGACTCCTAGAAAGTGTAATTGCCTTGCCCAAGGTCACAGACTAATCTAATGCAAAAGACAGACTAAATCCCAGATCACCTGACTTTCATTCCAGTGTTTTTTTATTATTTTTTTTTCCATTTTTGGATGTATTTTACTTCCAGAACTAAAGATTTTCAGCACCACACCCATGGAGAAAACACAGAGCCAGACAATATTTACCAAACAAAGGACTAAAATCCATCATAGATTTAAATCTAAGAAAGGACCTTAAAGGTCATTAAGTCCAACCTCCTCATTTTACAGAACAGGCACCTGAGAATTAGAGAGAGATTAAATGACTTTCCCAAGATCACACAGGATTTCAGCTTAGGGCTGCTGCCTCCAGATCCAGGATTCTTTCCACCATATCAAAAACGTTTCACTTCTTCTTCAGGTTGTATGACCTAGAGTAAAACCCCTCCTTATCCTGATGTGCTCCAGCTCTGAGAGATCCCCTCTTCTTCCATTTAGTGATAAACGGGGGACAGGGATCCCTCTGCCCTAACCCCAAACCTGTTCACCTTTCTTAGCTTCAGGAGCAAAATTAGTCTGGTATAGTGCAAAAAGCTTAGAGGCAGGCAACTCAGGTTCAAAACTTGAGTCTACCACATATTAGTAGTGTGACCTGTTACTGTAGAGATCAGTACCATCTTCTTAGTCCCTCAGGCTCACAGCCTGGGAGTCATCCTGGACTCTTCACTATCTCTCATCCCCATATCTAATCTGTTGCCACGGCTTCTCAATTTGACCTGTGTTGTATCTTTCTTATATGCCCCTTTCTCTCCTCTGACATGGCCACTATTCTAATGCAAGCCCTCATCACCTCACTACTGGACTTCTGTAATAGCCTGCTGGGGAGCCTGCCTGCCTCAAGTCTCTCCCCACTACGATCCATCCTCCATTCAGCCACTAAAATAATTTTCTTAAAATACAGATCCAACCATGCCATCCCCACCCCCATTCAATAAATTATAGTGGCTCCCAGTCACCTCCAGGATCAAATGCAAAATGCTCTGTTTAGCTGTAGAAGACATTTGTAACCTAGGCCACTCCTACCTTTCCAATCTTCTTATTCCTTGCTCCCCTACACACACTTTGATTGAGTAACACTTGCCTCCTGGCTGTTCCATAAAGAAGGTTCTCCATATATTGGCTCTGTGAATTTTCTCTGGCTGTCCCTCATGCCTTGAGCATTCTCTGTCCTCTGTTCAAACTACTGATCTCCCTGGCATCCTTTACATCTAACCTAAAACCCTACCTTCTACAGGAAGCCTTCTCCAACCCCTCTTAATTCCAATGCCTTCCCTATGTTGATTATTTCCTATTTATCCTGTGTGTAATTTACTTTCTATATATTTGTTAGCATGTTGTCTCCCCCATTAGATTATAAGCTCCTTGAGGACAGGGGCTGTCTTTTCCCTCTTTTTGTATCACATTAGTTAGCACTTAGCACTTAGTGCCTAGTACAGAGTTGGCTTTTAATAAATATTTATTGATTGATTGACCTGGAAGCAAGTCACTTTATCTTTCTGAACTCTGGTTTCTTCATCTGAAAAATGATATAATGACAGTTTCATGACCTACTTCAAAGAGGTATTATAAGGAAAGTTCTTTGTACTATAAAAATGCCAGTTATTTTTTGTTCCCATTATAAGACTCTGACACCCAGCACTGAGGGAGTTAGCCTAGAACTGGAATGTTTCTTTACCACTCATAGGATCATAGATTTAGAGCTGGTAGAGAATGTAAATCCAAACTTTTCATTTTAGGGAGAAGGAAACAGAAGAACAGATGATAATTGATTTGCCCAGGGAAATACAGCCAGTAAGTGGCCGAGGCAGGATTTGAGCTCCTCTTCCATGCTCTGCCTGACTCAATCAACTACTCCACCTTCTTTTAAAGAATTGACATGTTAGAATTAGAAGGGACCATCTAGATAGACTAAGCTCTTTATTTGACAGAGTAGGAAACTGATCACATTTTACATGGATTATTGAAATGACCTCCTGATTTGTCTCCCTGCTTACATTTTCCCCTACTCTAGTCTGTTTGCCACTGAGCTGCGAAGATGATTTTCCTGAAACAGAGATCTGACTTTGTCATCCCTCTACTCAAGAAATTCCAGTGATTCCCTCTGGAAGCAAACATAAACTCCTCTGTTTGGCATTTAAAATTCTTCACAGCCATATGAATGTAATGGAATATTTCTGTGCTGTAGGAAATTATGTGTGTGATGAATACAGAAAATCATGGAACAATCTACATGAACTGATGCAGCGTGAAGTAAACAGAGCCAAGAAAACAATATCCACAGTAACTACAACAATAGAAATGGAAAGAACAACCACACACCAAAAATTCAAAAGTGAATGTCACAAAACTATAGAGATCAAGAATGACTCAAATGAAGGGATGTAAGAAGAAACCTCCACCCACCCCTTCATGGAGCCGGAAGGTCTACACATTGTGCATGTGTTTTGTTTTTTTCAGAATTTTTCAATATATTGATCAGTTGTGCTATTTTTTCCCCTTTCTAAAATAATATACTATTTGTCATATGGGATGGTTCTCTGGGAGGGCAAGAAGAAAGTATCCTGGGGTTAACCATAGTGCTATAAGAAACAGAAAATATCCATTTAAACTTATTTAAATATACTCTTCACAACTTCACCTCTTTCCTACCTTTCCAGCCTCATTTCAAATCATGCCCCTTCAACATTTTCTGATCCAGTGACACTGGTCTTCTTGCTGTTCCTCACACATGCCTGAGATGCAGCCCCTTCCTCCCCTCTGCCTTTTGGCTTTCTTCATTGCCTTCAAGATTCAGCTCTAGCACTACCTTCCACATAAAGTCTTTCTTGATCTCCCTCACTTGGTTGATATTTTAAATCCTCCCCTGAAAAATCAACTTATGTCTCTTTGGCATATACCTATGTAGGCATCTATATAGATATAAGAAGAGGGCAG